AGTGTCTAACATGATAAAGAAAATTAAACTGCAAAATATTTAACATAAAATTGTGTTTAAATTCTAGGAGGAAGAGGCGAATATGAAAGTCTGTACCTGCCACCAGCTATTGCTATTATAATAAAAGGGATAATCCCCTGCCGAGTTCTCCGCCCTGACCAGGCTTCTTACTGACAAATACACGGCGGGGTTAAGAAACTAATGAAAGAATAAATATCTTTTTGAACGAGTACTGAATCATTTCTCAAATATTTTCAAATCCGACCTTGCACTTTAGCAGGTACGTCAACAAACCCGATTCCCTTTGGGGTACCGGGAAGGTACTGAAAAACTACCCGCAAAGTTAAATTCCAGACCAAAATACAAAAAAGACAAAATTCATATATTTACAACTTTACATCGCTGAAAATTTTACACAGATCTCCGACCCTTCTGTTGTCGTCATCCACTCTCAAATGACATATTTATGACATTAATTTTCTTACCTACCTATCTATCGGCATTATGCAAGTACCTATGAAATGTACGTCATATTGTGGATAAGATATCCACAATCACAGATCAAAATATAATCTCACAGGAAACAAACACGATTTTACTATAAAAATACATCTAATCAAATAATTGAATTAATAACTTCAAGTATTTAACAGACCCTATTTTGAGGTGTGAAAACTTCGTAAAATAGAGACTAAAGTATTTGAAATTTCCACTTTCATACTTCAAGTAATTCAAGAGTATTTAAAATACTGAGTGAAGTACTTGGAGGAAAGTACTTGGCAAAATCAAGTACTAAACTCAAGTACATTTTAGAAATACTCCAAGTACCAAGTACCAAGTACCTAAATATAAAAGTACTTCAAGTAAAGTACTTGAAGTACTTAAAGTACTTGAAGTATTACTTCAAGTACTTTTACTTGAAGTACTGAACAGCTCTGGTTACTATGGTTGACAACCGCTATGATTTTCACTCCGGCGGAGTATAAATGTTGTATTTATTCGCAGGCGGAGTATAAGTAGTACTTATACGCTGTCATAGAAATGACACTTAAACCCCGGTAAGAGCGTCATATAAGTTATATGACGTTTGAAAATAAAGGACAATTAGTTGAGGTGTGTGTATAGGCACCCCCCAACCGGTTGAAATTAGAATAAAATCAATGATTAAAAAACACTTAACACATGACAGTAGAGTATGCACAGAGGACGATACAGACAAATTAAAATGAGGTGACCTTCTAGGAATGCATCATCCAGAAGGTCCCCTACGGGGCAGACCTCCCCCTAACGTATATTCCATAAAATTGTGGAAGATCTCGATCGACGACCTGAGGGCTGTCAATGACAGGGTTAGCACTGATGACTTATCTTTGATTCCTAATTGTTTAAGGTCTTCAATCGTAACTTTGGGCATGCCCCCTCCCGAGTGCCCACCACTACTGGTACTACGGCTTCTTCGGATGCACCAAATCTTTCTTTCACCTGTGGTAGTAGTCGCGAGTATTTGTTTACTTTTTCCTGCCTGCCGTTTTCTAAGTAGTTCCCATTCTCATGGCGGACTGTTACATCGAACACAAGGACCCTTTTCCCGGATTTGACCACCAGGTCCGGTTTGAGAACTTCCCCCCTATCTGTAAGGGACGGCTCTTTGACTAGTACCGCACACGGATCTCTTTGACTGACTTTATCCATCACCAGATTCAGTATCTCATTATGTCTTCTTATTCTTTCTGCCTTCGTGTAGCTGCATTGCCCTGTTACGTGGGCCAACGTTTCAGGCAATAATTTGCATTTTCTACACAGCAGATCTTGCCTGGGGACTGCTCTATTCAATGCCACTTTCGTGGGGCACATGGCAGTGTAGGGTCATACAACCAGCCGTTCCCAATAGGATCGTTGGCAAGCGAGTGCACCGCTTTCCCTTGGGTTTGGCTATCTCCCCAGTTTGAGAGCTCCTGCTGTTTCCTCCTCTGCTTCCAGCGGTCTATGGTCTTCGTATCAGGGAGGGGCCATTCCAATCTGATGGACCGGGCCAGCTTCCTTAACCTCGGTTCTAGTCCATTATCTGATGCAAGAGCTCTAATGGCAGGGTCAGAACTATTAAAAAATCTTAGCCCCGACTTAAGGCTAGAGGCCGTCGCTATTGTCTCTAATCTGGGAAAACCTAGTCCTCCGTCTCTTTTCCTGGCATATATCAAGCCATTGATGGTCGACATTGGAAGATGGAGAATGTTCTTGACTTCTACCCGAAGGTCGTCGTATATAAGAGAGTCATAGTTACTCTCTGTTGAACGCCTCCGTCAAGGTATGAGTGTGCTTCGTTATGTTCCATACACCCAGTGAGTGAAGTGCTAGAGACGTCCTCATCGCCACTTCCTCTATGAAGAGCTTAAAAGGTGCTAAGCAAAAAAGTGTCTCCAGAGTCGCTGTGAGAGTGGTTCTCATTGCTCCTGTAACACTAAGACACGCCATTCTCTGAACGTGTTCAATTTGCAGGGCTGTTGTTTTTTGTTTGACTCTGGGTCACCAAACTAAAGCTCCGTAGCACAGCATCGGCCTGACTATTACCATGTAGATCCAGAGGGCGATCTTGGGGTTTAAAACCCAAGACCTTCCCACCACTCTACGACATTGCCAAAGAACCGACCGTGCTTTTTCCACTTTATCATCTACATGCTTCTTCCAGTTCAGTCGCTAGTTCACTACAACTCCCAGGTATTTGACTTCATCCGAAAGTTGAAGCGTTGTGTTAAATATTTTTGGCATCTGTAGTGTGCCAATTTTCCTTCTCCTAGTGAACAAGATTAATTTCGTCTTTTGTCCATTTACCGAGAAGGCATGTCTGCTACACCAATCCTCGACTATTGTTATTGCAGTTTCAACTAATGTGTCTGTGTTTTTTCCTGGTAGCCAAAATCGTGTCAACGACAGTGGCCCATATTATAGGAGAAATACCTTTCCTGGGGACATCCCTTGTCTACAACAGCCTCGATCTCAGTGCCACCTAGATTAATCAGTTCCCTGTTCCTCAGCATAGCAGTCACCCACCTACTCAGGATGGGGTTCACGCGTGCTCTTGTAAGGCTAGTATAGGATTAGCATAGGCTTTTGAAGGTCGTTTTATCGAACGCTCCTTCAATATAATAATCTGCGACCTACATGATCACTTATTATGACGGCTATTTCAATTATGTAATCTTCAATATTATTTCACTAGTAATGTAATGCAATTCATTATACTTCATTTAGATCTTCAAGAATAAATTTATAAATATAGAAATGGAACACTTTAATTATATAAATTACAAACAATAAAACACTTGTGTATTAGGGTTACTATAAACATTAATAATAATGTTTTTTCAATCGGATATGTTGATACCAGCTACCTAATGTGGTTAGCTGTGCCGTGTTTTGTTCGTACAAGAACTAGGTACTTGCCAAAATTTCTCCTGCAATTTTAGACGTTACATTTTTTTTTTTTTTTCTTTTAATGTATCAATGAATAAAATCCATGGCGTTTTACGGTTTCTAAGAGATCTGCTCCAAAGTCTGCAAGCATGGAAAGACCGTCTGAAGCAATACCCAGTGTACTCTTTAGGATTTGATAAACTCAAAACTGTAGTGATGTTTTTTGGGATACTCCTAAACGCATTTATGCCTGCAGGTTGTATTATATAAAAACCTTTCCTGTGTACAGCAAAAAAATCTTTCATCTTTGGTATGTTGAGGACGTAGTACCAAATATTTCGTAAATATTTTTGACTTCTTGGGTCTGTATCCTTGTGACTGTCTTTTTGAAGATGCAACCAACTTCTTGCATTTGCTTATGTCAACTTTGTTTTTCGTATGGTAGCTTTTAGCATCGAATAGAAAGACCAAACACTGGAACATTTGTACTTTTTCGACAGATTGTCGAAGTACGGCAGCAGAACCTTCTAACTTGTTACATTTTACACTTTTTCCTCGTTATACCATTTCACATAAGTTTTTTCACTGGTGGCAGCTTCTTCTATATCTCCGAGTCACTCATAAAATTCGTCTCACGAAAAACGTAAAATTATGTGTCGTTAAAACATGCAACTAGTCACTATGGTTTAAAAAAGTTTAGTACACTTTGATCCCAAATTTGAATTTTTAATAGTTTTGTGTCTTAACTAAGCAGTCGCAGATAAAATGTTGTGCATCACTTGTAGGCTAGAGCATACTCCTCGTGTAAAGTTGTCAAATTTTTATGTATATATATCCCAAGAAAATCCACATGGGCGTTTATCAGAAATTTTATTTTTTAGGATGAGCGTCATGATGATGATTTGGTTTCAACCAGTGAATGAAACTAGCATAATTCCTGATGTTGCTGGTAGAAGTATTATTTACCACTTCGTCTTCGTTTATGTTGCTGTTATCTGTAGATTCTTCATGTGATCACTCAGATTCAAATTCGCTGCTTGTATCTGCAGTATGATCTTCTGAATTGTTTTCATTATTTGAGGAATTCGAAAGTTCATATAAATTATCACAACCTCCAGACTCTGAAAACGATTTTTCAACTAATTTTTCTAGTCTGTTTGAGTTAATGGTCGTTTTCTGTCCATTTCTGTAAGAAGAAATTCTACATAAAGAAACTCTCATTCAGTGTTTAGATACTATTGGTATATATTTATACCACACATGTGATCTACTGGTACACATAGGTACCGGACAAACAAAGACGTGCATAACTATGTGATCTAACACTCTAACAAAAGCTTCAAGTAAAATAAATACTTACTGGTGCCAGTTAGCAATTTTTTTTCAACTGTTTCAGGGAACAAAACTCTTAAACAACACGATAAAATTGACTCAACAAGTTAACAATGGACACTTGTGTTCAACACGTATTCACTGCACACAAATCTAGACAAAACATGTCAAATTTCCATCTACGGACAACTTGCGAGGTGGCTCTGGTGCTCTAATGAACAGGAAAACCTGATTGTACACCATACATGGGAAATTACCTCCACTTAAGACAATTAGCTCTTCGGAACCATTTTTCCACTATCAGGCAGGTTGCAGGTAACTGATTTGCTGAGGATGGGAGGAAGATTGGAATGAGATCTGTCTATCGTCGTATCCAAGTTATTGGATTACGGAGTTGCCATCCACACTTGGTGTTGCCGTTGACTCCAGAGCACAAACATCTGCGGCTAGAATGATGTAGAGAAAGTTATACCAATGGAATTGCGTGTAAAAACAAAGACATTATCTAAGAACATAATTAACATGCAAATCGATCAAGAGTTACTTTTATTATTGTAAGATTTACCTCTGACTCAAAGATTAAAGGCATTCGGGTAAGATTTTCCACATAACGAGAACTATTACCACGTACTTATGTAATTCTAGACACTGATGAGTGAATGGAACAATTTTTTCAGAATCTGGGATAAAACGCTGTAAACATTTGTTTAAATAAATTTTGTTGTCGCGAGCATTACATGTGTTAGCTGCTGCGCACACTGTGTTGTCAGATATGATAATAAAATTTCCAATACAATTACTAAGCTTCACCGAGAATAGCATTGGATAAACAGATCGATTTGAGATTCGTTCGCTCTGGATGCGTAACTTCGTGAGAACAAAGTATAAAATTTGTGGTTTTGGTATGCTTTCATAAAACTTCATGAAAAATGTGGATGTTTGTTGTTGCTGCGGTACTAACAGTACTTGGTTATTGGATATTAAGCCGGCCCCACAGTTACTGGATCAGAAAAGGGGTCCCACAATTAAAACCAGTTTTTATTTTTGGCGACATATGGCCCTTACTTTTCCGAAAACTATCACTTCCTGAAATGACACAAGCATTGTACAGTTCTGGCCAAGATCTAAGGTAAGTACTTACATGCGATATAAAAATAAAAAATAATATATATTCTAAAAAAAAAAAATAGGTACATCGGCGTATACCAGTTCCTTCGACCCGTTCTTCTATTAAGAGATCTAGAACTGATAAAACAAATCACAGTAAAAGATTTTGACCATTTTATGGACCACATGAGTGTTGCAGATTCGCATGCGGACCCTCTCCTTGGCAAAAATTTAGCCGCACTTACTGGTATGAAGTGGAAAGAGATGAGATCCACTCTTAGTCCGTCTTTTACCAGCAGCAAAATGAAGTATATGTTTTCTTTAATGTCACAAAACGCAGAACAATTTGTAAACTATTTCCTGCAAAATGATAAAGAAGTAATTGAAGTAGAAATGAGAGACGTTATTACAAAATTTGCAAATGACGTTATTGCTAACACCGTGTTTGGGTTTGAATGCGACTCTCTGAAAGAACCCAATAACGAGTTTTATGCAATGGGTAAGTCAGCTACTGATTTTACAAATATACGAACAATTCTGGTGTTTATGGGTTACATCCTAGTGCCTAAAGTACTTAAAGTAAGTAAGTATAATTTTGAATCGTTTGTTTTTAATGAAAACTCTGATTTTTAGTTTTTCAAAGTGAAACTGTTTTCTGATAAAATAAATAGATATTTTAGGACAATAATTAAAGAAAATATTGAAAACAGAGAAAAACATGGTGTCAAACGAACCGACATGATTGGTTTATTGCTTGAAGCAAGGAAAAATAAGCAAAACGACGACGAAAACAATATTATACCAGATACCGGTTTTGCTACGGTAAAAGAATCAGAAATTGGCAGAAATCAAACGTTGAGGAAGAGGGAAATAACAGATGAAGATATTACAGCTCAGGGTTTTGTATTCTTCATTGCTGGCTTCGAATCTGTATCTGCACTAATGTGCTTTATGTCGTACGAATTAGGTGTCAATCAAGATGTACAAGACAAGCTTAGGAGCGAAGTAGACGCCACTACAAAACAGTGTAATGGGAAAGTTACCTACGAAGCATTAATCACAATGAAATACTTGGATATGGTGGTATCAGGTTAGTACAATTACTGTAATATGTTTTTTTTTAAGTTCATAATTTACAGAGACCTTGAGAAAATGGCCAAATGCTGTAGCTACTGACAGAATCTGCACTAAACCCTATACGATCGAACCAAAAACATCCGAAGAAAAACCACTTCATTTAGACAAAGGTACTATGATATTGCTACCAGTGTATGGAATTCACAGAGATCCACAATACTATCCAGAACCAGAACGGTTCGACCCTGAACGCTTCAGTGACGAGAACAAAAGTAAAATTATGCCTTATACATTCTTTCCTTTTGGACTGGGACCGAGAAACTGTATTGCTTCGAGATTTGCTTTAATGGAAACTAAGCTTCTTTTCTACTACATTCTGTCCAATTTTAAAATAATTCCAGTTGAAAAAACACAAATTCCAATTCGTTTTAATAGAAAATCTATAAATATGGCAGCTGAAAAAGGTTTTTGGTTTGCACTTCAGCGACGTGGATAGTAACTAAAACATTTATACCTGCGTAAATGTTATTTTATGAGATTAAAAGGCTTTATTGTACATGTAAAGGATATAGTTATGTCAATATGAATTAACAGTAGGTAGGTGTCTACTATTTCAAATCTGTAGCATCATAAAACAAAAGAATTTAATTGATATATTTTTTATATTAAGTACCTATATTATATAATCATATATATGAGTGCTTCGTGAATATAATGTGATTACTTAAATGCTGAAACTAATTCGGTTATACGATGTCTAAAAGTTAACTTTCTTAACAATATATTACTACTGTGGGTGATGGGTTAGTCATAAATTAAGATTTAACCATGCCCGCAGTAGTAATCTATTGTTAAGGAAGTTAACTTTTACACAATGGGGTACTTGCATAAAACCGAATTAGCATTGAGAATACTATACCTATTAGGTATATATATATATTTAACACTGTATACTAGTCAGTAATAAATTTGAGTCATAGTACTCACATCAGTACATAATGTAATTATTTAAAAGGAGCTCTTAGGATTTTTTCCTTACTTATTCTAAGATCGATACGTTAGGATTCATCCGACGAATCATAAGTAAATTCCCTCCATACTCACTGACTTACTTCAACTGACTCAGCATAATGGTATTGGGCCCCAACCTACAAGGGGTTAACAGATCTTGGAGTTTTTATCTCAGCCTGAAACTGTGTCCTCCCCTTTAACATCTACTTTGGCAAGGTCAACTTTATTACCTTATATGAGGACCTTAGAACACTTTTTTGTTGTAAATCAAGTCTTGGAAACATTTTAAGAATGTTTACACTCTTTACACTCTTTACTAAAGCAGATTGTGCCACTGTATACTACTCAACTTAAACTCTTCTATCCACCTCCGTTTAGATCGTCTTTAATTTCTGGTCTAAAGACTAACCTATTTTATAGAAGGAAATGATTATTGACCAAGAGCGTCATATTTATTAATTAATTTGAACGTAGGTATTTGCGTGCACTGTAACAATTAACTTTCTATTTGCTATCCAGTAAATGTAAGTAATGTTAAGCAATCAGTCCACAACAACCCGAAATAAGTTTTTAAATATATGATAAATGCTGGTAATGATAATAATTGTTGATAATACGCCAAGCCTTGCCTTTGAGATACTAGAGCAAATAGTAAATGGGTTTGCACAGGTTTTCTCTAATATATGTCACTTAGCTCAAGTTATAGCTAGATTTTCTTAGCAATATTTTATCTGTGAAGATGATATTATAGCATCTTTGTCTACATCCTGTCATTTAAAGTCGTCGCCTCTCAAGTGTGAATTACAGTAATTCTTGTTGATTCAAGCTCAAAACAACAAAACAGTCGTTTCCAAAACTCTTGCTGTTTACGTACGAAAATTTTGTTTTTATGCTAGGAGGCGAAGACCGTGAAAATAGTTTATTCTGTTGAATAAGACTGTTAAGACACTTTCATTGTTGGATTATTATCGCAATGGGACATTCGTTAACGAAGATTTTGTGTATTCTGTAACCGCCTGTAAGCATGAATTTCTGGCTAAATACTCTGATTTGAAAATTCAAGAAACATCGTTAAAGGCTCACATTAGAGATCTAATCAACATATTTGTTCGAACTGGCAGTGTTAACAAATGGAAATCTCCTGGAAGGCCTTCAGTATTTGAGGAAGTTGTTGATGATTTGAGATGACTTGAGCAGAATCCGCAAACATCTTTGACAAGATTTCCTCAGCAGTCAGAAGTTCCTGTTGCAACATGAAATTGAACAGTGGGTCCAAAGCGTTGAGGAAAGAATGCTACAGAACATTTTTGAAATTAAAAATAGAGTGGACATGTGCCTTGAATAAAATCGTGAGCATTTTCAACATTTACTGTGATGTTTAAATACAATAAATTTGTGTTTTTTTGTCGTGCCCAAATAGTTTTGACCGCGGCCGAGCTTTTGGACACTAACAAAATTATTTATTTGGGTGTAGGCCCATTTCCTTGGCAATGGAAGAACTAAACTGCATGTAGGGGAAGAGGTAATAACTAAACATTTCTAACATTTTTATACATATATTGAAAGAAAGAAGCATATCAAAAGAATAATCGAGTAAATGTGTAAATGATGAACAGAAAAATAAAACATAAAAATAAATTTACACACATAACACGAAAAAAAAACAACATGCAAAACTATCTTCTATGAACATAACCCACAATTTTATTTAAATTTAATCCTAGAAAAATCAGCATGCAAAACTAAAAATTAATTCGGTAAATCCTTAATTAAGTGCGATACCTTCTAAACAATATTAATATTACGAGCGTGATAAATAAACTAAAAAAAAGTACTAACTACGAAATCGAGTAATTACTTAATTATTTAATAAATTGCGATTGGGCATTTATATATATATTAATTAAATCATTAAAGTAGCGTCATTAATGAAAATAAGAGATTGAAACTGTCTAAATATAAATTTATTTGCATCAAGGAAAAATATATTATTATGCGTATTAGATATTGCAATTTTATGTAATTAACAATTAATCTCATATGCAAATTTGTTTAAGACGGGACGATCAGGTGAAAATGGATAACCAATAAGAATAATCTTAGAATTTTTAAATTTGTCAGAAGCTAAGTCGTTGAAGATATCATGATTCAGTATTTTGCCACTCAATACTTCTACATCTCCGCCAAATATCATAACGAAGTCTTGACAGTGAACCGTCGAAATGTTATCGGCAACTATCTTTTCAAAAGATTGGGCTTGATTATGGAAGAAACGTCGTATTCATTGTGTGATAGATATTCGTTGAGTAATTTGACACAATTACGTTCCTTACCATCAGCCAGTAAAATAATTTTACGTCGATTAAATAGTTGGGTCTTGGGCGGATAAGGTTTATCAGTTTCAGAGGGTGTACAAGCAGGTGTTTGGTCAGTAGAAATTGACCCTAAGTTGGTTTTAAAAATAGTATCTACCACAGGCTTAAAACCATCAAATTCTTGTCTAACAGACGTCGTAATAGATGATTTTAGATCATAACGTAAGTTCTCAAATAACATGGATACGCGTTCCTCAGCTTCATCAAAAAATATGTTTAACAGAATCCTTGAAGGACTTCTTCAATTGATCAAGTTCCGTTCTAAGAAACTCGTTCTGTTCACGTAGGAGTGTGATCGTCGTATTTTCAAGGTCAGTTTTACTGGGTTTATCACATCGAGGACATGAGTTAATTGAATTTACATCATCAGCAATTAAGGAATAATTTTTGAAGGTACGCAAACAGCTCAAATGAAATACATTCTTACATTTAGAATAAGATGTAGAATTAACCACCAAACTCTTACATTTACAACAAACAGAATTCATTATGTATACAAAAAGAATAATTTTTGAAAATTAAATTTTGGATAAAAGATTAAAAGACGGGGACACACTCTTCACCCCTACGGTGCTTTTCGTGAGGACTTATTAAAGAAGCAGACAAGAAAGCAACGGAGAGGTTATGATGTGTAAGATCAAAACAGAGGTTAAGAGGTTAAAAAAGGACCCGACAATTAGCGTGCAAATAAAAACTTACGATGAAAAACCAGTTTTTTACACTAGAAAAGAAAACTCAAGTTTCACTAACATTACTTTAAATATTGACGAATAAACAGTAATAATTACGATAACAGTAATAAGTTCACTTGTATCACTGTGTGCTGTACGACTCACATTAATAATTTATACTTACAATTTTCCCACAGGCTCGTTAATTTGTCCTTTAAAGACGATTTGACTTTGGACATTTTTAAAAATGGCACAAAATACTAGATGATGAACAGTTTTTAACACACTTTTACACTTTTGAACTTCGCTTTACGAAAACTCAACACGAACTAATTGATACAGGAAGAGAAGTCAAAAAGAAAGTTGTAGGAGGGCTTGGTGTATTTAACTCATCACAGCTCTTGCTTGAAGAGACAACTTGTGCCAGGGTCTGTAAATGCGTGTTTTAATTATTATCTTAAAACATACATACGTACTTATCTGTACAATAAAATTTGTTCCTTGATGGTTTGGGCAGAAAAATAGATTTGGGTTATTGAATTGTCGACATTTTGCTAACGGAATTCCCCGACCCTTTTACGCAAAACTCAGGTTGGATTGTCCTCGCAATAAATATGTGCTTAGGGTATAAAAAATTGAGATTTTAGAACACAATAGGCCGAAAAAAGTAAAATAAGCAGAAAAAAATGAAAATAAGTCTAAAAAATTCAAAAAAGGGACTCATGATCAAAAATATGCAAATAGGCAAAAGCAAGCTAATTATTAATTTTGCATTTACTTATCTTTTTCTAATGATCTGAGATGAAACTCAACTAGAAACATGGGAAAATCCGCTACGCCCATCGTTTCACAAACACTTAAAACTAGTTTTGGTCCATTATTATTTTATTGTTTTTAAGTCATTCAGGCACAATTATGTATTTTAAATTATTCATTGTACGTAAATGAATGGACCATTTTTTTTAATAAACGACATAGTACAAAATTTGTCGCATTTGCCGTAGTGTTGTATAGACTAAAATTAAACTACCTTAAATTAAACAAATTTCATTGTTGTTGGCGGTGTATGTTAGCTACCAACATCGCGTTGCGTCAGATATGGTGTTGACTTTCAAATTTCCAACACAATTATCAAACATCATCAAGGACAGCATTGAATAACAGGTCAATTTAGGATTCGCACCATCCGGATGCGTGGTTTGGCAAAAATAAAACTTGTGGTTCTGGTACGGTGTAAAACAAATCTTTGAAAAATGTGGATGTTTATTGTTACCACGGTACTAATGGTACTTGGTTACTGGATGTTAAGGCGACCCCATAGTTACTGGATAAAAAAAAGGAGTACCCCAATTAAAACCAGTATTTATCTTTGGAGACATGTGGCCTTTATTTTTGCGCAAACTGTCTGCCCCTGAAATGACACAAGCAATGTACAACTCTGGTCAAAATCTAAGGCAAGTACCATTTCTACTGTAAAATTAAAATAATTCATTCATTCAAATAAAAACAGATATGTCGGCATATACCAATTTCTTCGGCCCGCTTTTCTTGTGAGAGATCCAGAACTCATCAAACAAATCACAGTAAAAGATTTTGACCATTTTCTGGACCATACGAGCGTTGTAGATTCAGACACCGACCCTCTTCTTGGTAAAAATTTAGCTGCACTTGCTGGTACGCAATGGAGAGAGATGAGATCCACCCTTAGTCCGTCTTTTACCAGCAGTAAAATGAAGTATATGTTTTCCTTAATGTCACTAAACGCAAACCAATTTGTAAACTATTTCTTACAAAAAGATAAAGAAGTAATTGAGGTAGAAATGAAAAATGTTATTTCAAGATTTGCAAATGACGTTATTGCTAACACTGTGTTTGGGTTTGAATGTGATTCCTTGAAAGAACCCGACAATGAGTTTTATACAATGGGAAGGGCAGCTACTGATTTTACAAATCTACGAACAATTCTGGTATTCATGGGTTACGTCTTAGTACCAAAGTTACTTAAAGTAAGTGTACCTACCTATGACTAGATTTTCAATGAAAAATTTGTTTCCAGTTTTTTAAAGTGACGATTTTTCCTGACAAAATGAATAGGTATTTTACAACAATAGTTAAAGAAAATATTGAAAGTAGAGAAAAATACGATTCCAAACGACCTGATATGATTGGATTATTACTTGAAGCCAGAAAAAACAAACACAACGACGACGAGCACACCCCTTTACCGGATAGTGGTTTCGCTACAGTAGAAGAATCAGAAATTGGTAAAAACCTGAAGTTAAGGAAGTGTGAAATAACAGATGAAGACATTACTGCTCAAGCTTTTGTATTCTTTATTGCTGGATTCGAATCTGTTTCTGCCCAAATGTGTTTTATGTCTTACGAATTAAGTGTGAATCAAGAAGTACAAGAGAAACTTAGGAAGGAAGTAGACGCCACTAAAAAAAACTGTGGTGGAAAAATTACGTATGAAGCATTGTCCACAATGAAATATATGGATATGGTGGTATCAGGTTAGTGTTATCATTATCATTAATTTATTTTTCCTAAATCATAATTTACAGAGACCTTAAGAAAATGGCCAACTGCTGTAGCTACAGATCGAATGTGCACTAAACCCTATACCCTCGAACCAAAAACAGCAGATGAGAAACCAGTTCATTTAGATAAAGGTACTGTGATAGTGCTACCAGTTTATGCAATTCATAGAGATCCACAGTACTATCCAGAACCAGAACGGTTCGATCCTGAACGCTTCAGTGACGAGAACAAAAGTAAAATTACACCGTACACATTTTTTCCTTTTGGATTAGGACCGAGGAATTGCATTGGTTCGAGATTTGCGTTATTGGAGACTAAGCTTCTTTTTTACTACATTCTGTCTAATTTTGAAATAATTCCAGTTGAGAAAACACAAATCCCGCTTCGTTTTAATAGAAAGGCTATAAATATGTCAGCTGAGAAAGGTTTTTGGTTGGCGCTTCAACGTCGTGTAAAATAAAATACTCGTAAAAATAAAATTCTAATTATGAACTTGGCCGCAATAATGTAGACAATGTTCTGTCACTAGAAAAAACCGACGAGAAACAGCCGTGTATTTTTTAAGATTTTCGATTTTTAAGAAGACTGTTAAATTCACATAAGTTTTATTTCAATAAATGTTACAATAAAGCAAATAATTATGTCTGTCATATTAATCATCAAACAGCATGTCTTCTAATCTTAAGAGCATATGTAGTTGTCATAAGTTTTAGCTTCAGAACAAACATCAATAAAAGGATACATAACATCATTAGAACGACCATACTCTTTGCATATGAAATATTCCTGCGGCTTACCCTCCAGAGCTTCACTATGACCAAGTTCTGTGCACAGTGGAATAGGATATTCGTCGTCCGGGCATACACCATTTGGCAGAACAATGTCGCAAAGTCCTGTACCAATATTGTAGCCAAGTCCTTGTTCACACTGATTGGGGTAAGCTTTGAAGGTATCCTTTGTTTGGACGCATAGAACAAACTTGTTGCAATAAAAAGGATCCGGAAAAATACCCACTGCTTGACACGGAAAAGGCAAATCTGCGATACCATCGCAAAAGGGATCCTGTGCAGTAGTGCACTTATTTTTTATACATTTTTCTCCGTAATCGCATGTCTTCACGTTTTGTTTTGTGTAAGTGTCGTCATCTTGGATGCATGCCACTAGACTACTGCAACTTTCGCAAAAAAGTCCTGAAGTAGTGCAGTTTTTGGGTTTTTCACAAGTTTTGGATAGAGCCACGCGGTAGTCCACGAGGTTTTTGGCGTGGCAGGAAGCCAAAAGCTGAAACGGAAAATATGATTGATCACATTAATGCACAAACGTTCACACTAACAACCATGACTAAATAAAAATACAATCTATAGATATTGCACCTTACTGCGATATCTCACTTTGGCCCACTCTTCTTTATATATGTTGAGAATAACTTGTCATGTATCTATATTAATAACTTGTTTACACTTACCCCAATAATAGCGAACAGCACTTTCATTTTCGGTGACGATTTATGATCTAGAAGCTCATCCACTGTGCTTTGATTTTTATAGAAATTTGCTTTTTTAATGTTTGCGGCTCGGCGGTGAGATCAAAGTTTATGTTGCAAGCGGTATGGTTGTACGTACAACTTTTTGATAATTATTTGAAAAAATAAGAGGAAAATCATGTTGAATTCTTTGATAGGGCATGGTTGTGCAAAATTCTTGCAATTTTTGTGATGCATTAAGTTAAAGGAAAGCTATGTTCCCGATTAAAATCTTAGTTGTAATATTTAAAATAGGAATATTTCGTAAAGGACCGCTTTTATTTTATATAGAAATTTTTCCACCATTTGAGCATTTTCTTTTTCGAACATATTACCCCTAATAAATAAGTTCCAACACAGATGGTTGGTTACCGTATTCAAACAAAACACGGTATATTTGGAAACAAATGAATTGCCATTTCATGGAATTCTCTCTACCTACCATCTTACTGGTGTTTCACTTCGTTGTTTTGATGGAAGAAGAAAGCGTGAATTATACCCCTCCGCACAATACTAATTTCATTATTGAGGGAGCTAAAAATTCATTAATCTCCTAGGGAACGAAAAAAAACTTTTGGGCTTAGGAAGACGAATTGTAATGACATGTTTGAAGACTGGTAGTGGAGAAAGAATTTTTTGTAACCAGTTTCTCAGATCTTAGTATGGCGTCCGATTGCGTAACCTTTAATTCTATTACATAAGGTATTTCTTATATTAATTATGGAGTATCACAAGAATCTATCCTTGGGCCAAAGTTATGTCTGCCATACGTAAATGACCTTCGCAATTATTTGTCTAAAGCAGACGTGATACTTCACACAGATGACATTTGTATTGGTACTACCTCAGGAAGTACTATATCTTTCTTATAATAAAAGTAAAAATACACTTAAAATTGAAGAGTGGTTTACTGCAAATGGATTAAGTCTAAACAGAAAAAAAGCGTTTTAATGGTATTCACTTTAAAACCTTACAATTAGAGAGCGGATTTTATGAAGTTTGCATATCCGTTATTTTTTGCATATAATTCTTGATATTTAATATGTGAACGAATCATGCTAATTAAAAATGAATACAGCTATAAAAAAATTGCATATTTGCATATATTTGCCTTCTGCTGCATATTTCACGTAACGAGTGCATATTTTGCATTTTTATCAATTTTTGTACTAATTTGAAAAAAAAAAAATGTCGTTCTATCGGCATTTATCTAGAAAAACGAAATTTCATGAATCACATTACAAATATAGTCCTGAGCTTCAAATAACTAGTAAAAGTTTGGGTTTTATCGTAGTTTGGAGAAACCACCGGGTGTTAAGCCATTCTTCCAGGTAAATTCGGGCTCTAATTACTTTTGGAAATACCATCCATTCCCAATATTTTTGTTCGTTACTTAAGCGTATTAATGGTATGTTTTATGGTGGTCGAAGGGACGTTACCCTATTATTTTTCATCGTGAGTTTGCATTGAAAGCATTTAAAGCGATACAGGTGTGTCAATATGTCGACGATAACTCTAATTAATTTATGGATTAAACCTTTTCCTGAACTTATTCTTCAAGAAGGAAGTCAGTTTTGTCCCGCCTGCTCTAAACTGGTAAGGATTTTTATACATCTGTGGACGTAGTACGCACTTTTTCTACTTGCAAAGGCATATTTTAGAATCACCGGAAAAACTTTTTGTTAGAATATTTCGAAAAATATTTAAAAAAAATTGGTCTAAAGAGTTTGGACAGTACTTCCCTCGCTGTCGGAAACTTGACGACTGCATGCCTATTATGTTTTTTTTTTCTCATTACATTTTTGTAGTGGGAATTTAAAAAAAAATTGTGATGACGTCATCAACATTTTTGCAAGGACACGTATATCAGTTGGGATAGATGTAGTGTAATACTAAGAATAAAATTATTGTGTTCCCAAATTTTCGGGAAAATGAATTGGGTCGTTTTGAATATTGATTTCTTATAATCAATAAAATAACGAAACAATTTACTCACGTATACGGCGCCGGTGTGTAATATCTAGAGAGCAGATTTCTGTCGGGCTAGGCAAGGCCAAACTCGGTACGGCTCGCACGGGATGCGAATTCATTGCCGTTGCGGACTGCACTTCGTTTATTTGAGATTAGAATAACGTTGTTTCGTTGCACTCTGCTGTTAATTCCCGTTCTCATTTAATTAGCCGTTTGATTAATAATTCGTTAATTATATTTATGGAATCCAGCACGTCCCCCCCTATAATCGTGACGTAACCCGACAGAAATCCGCTGTCTAGTAATATGAGTGGCAACTGAAAATCGTTTATGTATAAACATTCTTAATTTAAGATGACAAGCGTAACAGCATACGTGAGAGCCAAAGAGAGAAACTGTAAACAAAACGACCATCGGTTTTATTGCTTCGACTTCCGCTTATTATATAAAACATTGCGTTTTATTTTAATTCTTGACGGTGAAATTCACAATTGGTTGATTATAAACATGTCTATTTCGCATTCGCGGAACCAAGTGACCGCATTAAACAAATGCAGGTCTGTAATGTTAAAGTCGATGTAAATAAGCGTGCTACTCTTATGTTTCAACCGAGTTTTTCCTTTAACAAATTTTGTGTCTACCAAATTAGGTTGGTTGGGGTGTAATTCTAATAATAAGTGTTGCCTTTAATTTAATCAATAAAATAAATTTACTTCATTAATTTTTTTGAACCACCTCTTAACAAAATCTAAAAAATATGAATGGAATGATAAATCACAAGTACAAACTCATCATACTTTTTGCATTTTAGATAGGATTTATTCAGCAAAATTTAAGGGTGACGTCATCAATTTTTTTAGGAGGGATGAACAAATACATTTTGAACAAAAGTTTACCATGCTTATAATAACTTTAAAATATTCCCAAGATTTCAAAACATTCGGTTTTGTAATTCCTGATTAAATCGATAAAATAAATTCACGCCTTCATTAATTTTTTTGAGTCACCCTGCATATGCAAATCCAAAAATATGAATGGAATGATAAATCACAAGTACAGACTCATCATATTTTGTACATTTTAGAAACGATTTATTCGGCAAACTTTTTAGCTGACGTCATCAGTTTTTTGTAGAAGATAACCAAATATATTTTGACTAAAAATTTATTATGCTCTTTATAACCTTACAACATCTGCAAAATTTCAAAGCATTCGGTTTTGTAGTTCCTGATTAAATCAATAAAATAAATTTACGCATTCATTAATTTTTTTGAGTCACCCTGTATATGCAAATCGAAAAAATTTGAATGGAATGATAAATCACAAGAAGAGACTCACCATATTTTGTACATTTTACATAGGATTTATTCAGCAAAATTTTGTGGTGACATCATAAATTTTTTAGGGGGGACGACCAAATACGTTTTGATCAAAAATTTACCATACTTACGATAATTTTAAAATATCTTCAAGATTTCGAAGCATTCGGTTTTGTAGTTCCTGAGTAAATCAGTAAAATAAATTTACGCTTTCATTTATTTTCTTGAATCACCCTGTATATGCAAATCCAAAAAATATGAATGGAGTGATAGATTACAAGTACAGACTGATCATATTTTGTACATTTTAGATATGATTTATTCGGCAAATTTTCGAGCTGACGTCATCAAGTTTTTGGAGGGGATAAGCGAATATATTTTGACTAAACATTTATTATGCTCTTTATAACCTTAAAGCATCTGCAAGATGTCAGAGCATTCCGTTTTGTAGTTCCTGATTAAATCAATAAAATATATTTACGCATTCATTAATTTTTTTGAGTCACTCTGTATATGCAAATCCAAAAAATATGAATGGAGTGATAAATGACAAGTACAGGCTCATCATATTTTGTACATTTTAGATATGATTTATTCCACAAACTTTTGAGCTGACGTCATCAAGTTTTTGGAGGGGATAAGCAAATATTTTTTGACTAAAGATTTATGATGCTCTTTATAGCCTTAAAACATCTGCAAGATTTCAGAGCATTCGGTTTTGTAGTTCCTGATTAAATCAATAAAATATATTTACGCATTCATTAATTTTTTTGAGTCACCCTGTATATGCAAATCCAAAAAATATGAATGGAGTGATAGATCACAAGTACAGACTCATCATATTTTGTACATTTTAGATATGATTTATTTCACAAACTTTTGAGCTGACGTCATCAAGTTTTTGGAGGGGATAAGCAAATATTTTTTGACTAAAGATTTATGATGCTCTTTATAGCCTTAAAACATCTGCAACATTTCAAAGCATTCTGGTTAGCAGATTAAAAATTAAATTTCAAAATATTGTTTTATAATTTTGATTTTTTTTCCAAAAATCTGGACGTTTCGGGTGAAAAGTCGATTCAGAGTTGTAAACTACATGTGTAGGACTATGTTATTTTATACAATTGAAAACCCATTTACTATGTACAATTTTGAAGTGACGTCATCGCATTAGTGGTGGGGATGATTAGACAAATTTTGGTTAGCGTTTTACCATCTACATGATATTCTTAATATAAGTACAAAATTTCACAACAATCGGTCGAGTACTTTCGGAGATTATCTGTCTAATAAAAATCCGGGACGGCAGACGGACAGACGGACGGACAGACGGACGGACAGACGGACAGACGGACAGACGGACAGACAGACGGAAATGGGAGACCTATTTCTTCGTCTTCTAGGGGTCATGAAAGATCGAGAAAACGTAAAAGTAGAGAGTCGGCCGACGGACTCGATTACAATACTTCCTTTGCTTACGCTCGGGAAGTAATAAATTGTTACCAAAATACTTATTAGCAATTAAATAGTGGATAACTACTATTTTTCAATTTGTTCTATTTATATTTATTACTTCCCGAGCGTAAGCAAAGGAAGTATTGTAATCGAGTCCGTCGGCCGACTCTCTACTTTTACGTTTTCTCGATCTTTCATGACCCCTAGAAGACGAAGAAATAGGTCTCTCATTTCCGTCTGTCTGTCCGTC